ATCACGCTCTTGACACAGACCCACCTCGCACAAGCAGCAACGCTCCACACAGACTAGACTAGACTAGATAGACAAACTAGGACGTAACAGAACAGCGTACCGAACCAAAAACAACTCAATCGGTCAATGAACGCTCTCAAAACCTCCACACACAATCAACACCCACCCACCCACCCACCCACCCACCCGCCCCCAGCCCCGCGCCTACTGTACAACACGCACGTTTGACGACGCTGCCCCGTTCTCTGGTTGAGGCATCCTCTGCTTGAGGCATCTCCCACGACGAAACCACATCAATCGGACGCTTGCTTGCGATTTGGTCAAGGTTACATAACCCCGCGCAAGGAGGTGAATCCTTAAACGACGGCACCGGGACGAGACAAGCACACAAAGACGCGATGTGACGACCGCGAATGAATCCCACACACAAACATACGGGTACTCTTGCAGCCCGAACCGCAAAAATAAACTATTAATAGCGCACACATGGGCATGTATCACAAGACAACCTCATGATCCTACAGTCCGCAGCACAAAAGAAGCGCAACTCGGCGCACAAAGAAGTAAAGGCGGCGCGACGGAGCCGCACAGACCAGGTTTTCTACTTTACCATCGCCAATAAAACGTACCCACGCACCAGAAAACGCAACCAGCCCGTTGGGAAACATAACGAATCATCCCAACGCCCACAGCTGGTCGCAGCCCTACACACCACTCACCATCTGTAGCTTTGTGGCACACACCTGGCGTGTGCGCGAAAGCCGAGAAACGTTTTGCGCAAATAACCACACGCTTGTCTCAGCAACAACATCTCGTACAAGGCACGACGCCCAAGATACATGGGTGTGCACGGGTCGCGACCGCGGAAAAAAAAAGGTACAATGTCCAAAATGCAGAGGGAAGAGAGACAACGGTCACCGCCGCCAGCGCTTTCTGCCAAATCTTCAAGACACAATCAGCTATTTTAACCTTGCCGCGAGCACACAAAACAACGCGATGAAAAAAGAAAGCAGACATCAACCAATCAGCTCTTCGCGGGTGCAAGCGTTACCGAATCCAAAAACGTAACGATAATTCTATTTACGTCACCGGTGGCGTTATTTCTTGTATACGTCACCGCCCGTATCTCAGCCCACAGAGCTTTAATTGGCACAAAATAAATTTCGTTGTGTAGCTATGACCCATACCAATCATACGACGGTCAAATCCGATAAGTGGTTGCGGAGATATGCTCAAAAGGGGGCTCAGCGGTATGATATACTGTATCTGCCATAAATAAAACGACCGTGCCTCCTCGCAGAGAGTTCTCATCGACACCAACTATGTAACTCGCGTTGTGTTTCCACGATTCACAGCCATCACTTAAGCTATTGGTGTCGATCGGAGCTCTCTGCGCGAAGTTACAGTCGGATTTTTTTGTGGTAGATGCAGTATCATACTGCTGAGCCCCCTTTTGAGCAAATCTCCGTAACCACTCATCGGATTTGACCGTCGAAAGGCTTGTATGATTGGTGTGGGTCATAGTTTCACAACGAAATTTATTTTGTGCCAATTAAAGCTCTGTGGGCTGAGATACGGGCGGTGACGTATATAAGAAATAACGCCACCGGTGACGTAAATAGAATCCTCCTTTCGGAAAACATGAAAATTGGAACGAACACACAATGAGTGCTTCGGGTGGGTGCTCTTGTTATCGCGCGTGATGACGAGGAGACCGCAACCAAACTAGAGGCCCAAAGAGTCTTCGCACATCTCAACAACGCAGAAACAAACACCCGCGACACGGCAAAATGATTAAATCAGCCACAGAGAGAGAGAGAGAGAGAGAGAGAGAGAGAGAGAGAGAGAGAGAGAGAGAGAGAGAGAGAG